CACCTTGTGGGCCAAACAGTAAGCAGCACATCATCTGTGTACTTCCTGGAGATCCTGCCAGTGGTCTTACGTCTCGCATCTCCCACAGCAGCAGCAGCAGCAGCCGCGGCGGCGGCGGCGCGCCAGGGCAGCCCGGAGGACATCGTGCTGGTGTGGAGCGGCGCCGGCGGCGGGTCCGCGGGCGCGCTCTGGATCTCCTACATCCAGTCGTGCTTCGTCGAGATCTGCCGCAAGCGCGGCCGGCCCAGCTTCCACACGGCGGACGTGAGCGTCGACGAGCTGGCGGGCGCAGCGGAGCGCTGGCGCGGCCGCCTAGAGCAGGCCAAGCTGGTGGTGCTGGTGGTGTGCCCGGCCATGCTGGCGCGCGTGGCGGCGTGCACGGCGGCCGTGGCGGGCACCCTGGCGCGCCTGGACTCGGCCCGCTGCCTCCTCATGCTGCTCGGCGTGCAGGAGCGCGAGCTGGCGCCCGAGACGCGCGCCCTCCTGGGCGGCGACTGCCGCCGCATGGCGGTCCGCGACCAGGACGCGTCGTTCGTCGGCGAGTTCCTGGCCGAGGCCATGGACATCCTGGTGCGCGCGTGGCGGTCCCGGACGGCCAAGGAGCGCCGCGTCGCGGACGGCGGCGCCGGCGCGCTCTTCTCGCTCGCGCCCAAGAAGGTGAAGGTGGGCGCGAGCAAGGTGCTGGCGCTGCTCGCCAACCCTCTGCAGCCCGGCGACGACGCACAGGTCCTGGTGCGCAAGGGCGGCGACCCCGTGGCCGTGGCGACCAGGACCCGGAACCCCTACACGTTGCAGTTTACAGTTCCAGGTACGTACGCGTCAGGGTGATTCTGCTTTCAAATTTGAACATCTTCAACTTCAAAAAGGGTTATAACGACTACTTGTTCATGGCGAACTAGAGCCACCCCAAGCATAACATTCTAAACAAAGTCTACAAATATTAAATTTACAACAACTTCGTTTGAACGTTGCGTGTCCTTTGCAGATAGCATGCTGGACGTGTCGGCCATGGTGACGGTGGTGGTGACGGTGAACGGTCAGTCGCTGGGCAGCCGCCAGCTCAAGTGCGAGAGCCGGCTGCGGGAGCTCGACCGGACGCTGCGCGCCCACGACAACCCCGTGCAGTTCCTCTGCCAGACGCTGGGCTTCGGCCCGGGCGACCTGGAGGCGCTCGACAGCTCGCTCCTCTGCAGCTACATGCGCAACGTGCCGCCACACTTCAACCTGCTGCAGAGCCAGGGCGGCCGCCCGTCCTACAGTCAGTACCGCTCAAAGGGTCAAAGGGGCTTACGCCCCCTTACATGTCATTCTTTACAATGTCTAGAAGAAACTAAGTCACTGACGACGCAATATATAATTTAAAAACTTTTTTTTTTAAATTTTATTCCACAGGTTGCGAGACGTACCCGACGCTGCTGCACTTCGCCGCGCACCTCGGCCTGGAGCGGCTCGCCATGGCGCTGCTGGAGGGCCCCGGCGGCGAGCAGGCGTGCTACATCCGGAACAGCGACGACCTCACGCCCGCCGAGATGAGCGAGCGCGCCGGCCACCAGCGACTGGCGTGCACCCTGCAGGGCTACATGGTGAGTGGAGAGCGCGGCGGGGGTGGAGGGTGGAGCGCCGTCGGCCACCCTGCAGAGTGGTGAGCACGGGACGCAGCTCTGAGTGGCGCTTGTTATAAAGTTACTCCAGCGGAGCGATACCTGTGGAGACAAGTTCATTACGGCCCGCTGGGCGTGCTCCTGCTCCACTACTGCTATTTAACAACCCCGGAAGTGCAGCATCCACTACTCCGTAAAATAAAATCTCGCTCGTCGGCTATAGTGCGACAGGTTCATGTTGTTGTTTTTAATTGTGTACACTTACGCGACAAATACTCTTCGTCGCAGCAAATGTCGGAGCTGAGCAGCGTCTACACCATCCTCAAGACCATCAGCGAGGGCGCGCCGGCCGAGGCCGCCGGCTTCTACCCCGCGGGAGGTAAGTTGTACTACGACGCGTGTGTTGTCGGACAAACATACCGCATATTGGCTGCGGGTTCTGCCCTGGCCGGGCCCTCCGCCGACCCTATCACCGGACCCTTCCCCATCTGTTTGCAGAGAGTGCCAATTACTTGAGCCCGCGGCCGGCCGGCGAAACGTACTCTGTACCGCCGCCGCCCGCCCCAGTGCCGGCCCCCGGCGCGCATCCCCAGCAGGCGCCGCCCCCGCCCCCGGCGCAGGCCGACCCCTACGTGGACATGATCAGCCTGCGGGGCCACAGCGGTGAGGTCCCGTCCCAACGCG